CAAGTTTATCCCACATCTCTTTGGCGGTTGAGCAGCAAGAGATCTTGCGGTAGTCATCAGGATTTACGGCACAATAAAGCATGTTTATTGCTTTTGCATAATTCTCGACCTTTTTGATGTCCTCGGCATCAAACTCGTCTTCGGTCTTGGGGATCAACTTGTCTCCGACTTTCTTCATCGGTACCTCTTCCCCGTTTTTTATAACCAACCATAATTGGAAGTTCGTGGAACGAATATAGATTCTCATTCGTTCTTTCCAATATGTATAATTGGTTCCATCAAAAAGAGGTGGCCGTGTGGTTGATTGCCCTTCACCTATTCCTACATACAAATTTCTAGAAGAAGAACCCATGATCGCTTTACTCTCAAACAGTTAAGTTTGGACGCGAGTTAGGCTCTGATACCAATTGTTAGAATAAGTGCCCTTCACTAGAGGGGGGGTTAACAGTGAGGCACGAGAATGTTTATAAATTTTCGCGGAATAAAAATCGCAGGGATAAAGTAAAGAGCGGAATAAAAAGGAGTAAAGGGAGCACACCAAGATTTACCCTGGTTCACCACAACTTGTGGCTAATCCAGCCTCCCGAGAGACTCTCTCAAGCTACACTACTTCCGTTAAGCTTACGGGTGCTTAACAAACCGTTACAACCTGAGAACACGAGCCTCAATACACTTGCTCGGAGATACCGCACTCCAAGACTTCAACTCGAAGGAAAATACCTTTCCTTCGTACAACCAAGGGAAACAAGCTTCCCTAAACGTGTTTACAACACTAAGAACACTCAAGAACAAGACTCTCTTTAAGAGTAGATGTTGAGTAAACTATATACGCTCAAGAACAACTCAAACTTCACAAATTGGCTCTAGAAAGCTATGAAAAATGATGTTGTTTGAATGCAATGATAATATGAATATTGTGAAGTGAATTGGTGAGAAAAGCAGACCCAAACACCCCTTTTTATAGTGCCAAAATAGGCTCCAACGGACCAATGCATTAAAGGGGTGACTGGCTTGATTTATGGGATTGAAAAGATTTGGGATCTGCAGAATATTGGCTTCCCAGCGATGTATGGACATTACCCATCGCTGGTTAGCCAATTTTCCTTCAGTTTTGAAGCCACTGGTTACCTACCCATCGATGGGTACAAGCTTCCCATCGCTGGGTGGGAGGTTGACTTCCAAAGAAGGAAAGAATCAACCTTAAATGACTTCCAACGGTCATGCCTTCCCATCGATGGTTTAGCCTTCCCATCGCTGGGTTCCCATCGATGGGTAAAGCTTCCCATCGCTGGGTAAGGGCATTCTGCCTTGTGATAATGTTGGACCAAGGCTTGAACAGCGATGGGTAGAGCTTCCCATCGCTGTTTGGCATGGTTCTGGAAG